CCCCAAAACCCCAAAACCCCAAAACCCCAAAACCCCTCAAGAGTTAACTTTTATTGGACTGCTTAAAATTATATTATATTTTAAATTTATTCTAAGCATGGAAACCTCTTTTGATACTCTATCGCTGAACAAAAGTAGGATCCTTTAGGAACATTTTTGATAGAAAATGGAGACCTGAGCACTCCTCTACACTTGCAGAAATATAATATTAATTTAGGCAATAATAAGTCTGCATTTTTCAAAAAGAAACTCAAAAATTATAATCCAAGTAAGCTATTATTTCCTCACTTGTAAATTTAAAATAGAAAAGAAAAATTTACGAAGGAAAGTGAATTATTCTCAAAGATGGCCTTCTCAAGGCCAGAAAGTTAATCTCAAGGATAATCTAGGATTGAGAAATCTTATCAAATATAAGAATTCTAATAATGGACTTCCTTCTCTAACCAATTCTGCTACATACGATAGCAGAATGAACTCTCAAAGGAGTGGTGAGGTTAATTTGAAGAAAATGTATTTTATGAAACATCAAAGAAACACAAACAGAAGCCAACATCATATCTCTATAAATGTTGAAGACAAGAAATCTTTGGGCAAATTATCAAAGTCAAAGGAGAATATTAGGGCTCTAAATCCTTATGATGATGACCTTACTCTGGTCTCAGATACTTTTAGACAAAGATCTATTGACAAGTCATGAAATATTCCTGCCTCCTCTCTTTCATCGTTCACTCTAAAGTATAATTCCTCTGTCAGGAACCAACTCGAGAAATGGATGAGTAAGAGACACAAGGTGAAGAAGTATCATGATATCGATGCTGATGAAATCTTCCAGAAAGTCAAACACCAGATCGCTATTGCTCAAAGCTATTCTAAATAACCAAGAGCATTTAAAAATTGACAGTTTAGTCAAAAGAAGGGTTGACTTAATGCCTGAAATCCCAGTCTATTGTAAGATACCTTGAAAAGATGAATACTCACCTTGAAAGATCACACTTACCATGAATGAAGATAAAGAACCTGATATTTACTCCTTTTCTTCTCTGAGAGTTCCCATGCCTTCTGCAAATAAGTGATCTAAATCTTGGAAGAATTCACATGGTAAGATCTAGCCTCAATACATAGTTCTAAAAGTATACTACAACTACGAAGAAGTGAACCCTCATGATACAAAGAAGAGGGACAAGTATAGGTCAAGCACAAGTCTTGCAGAGCAGTTTACTAACCACTTCATCTACATTGGGTTCCTGTCCTATTCTGGAGCCAGTATGATGGTAGACGTCAAGTTTGCCAATGAATATGGCACATTTGGAACTAAATAAATTGTAAATTATTTACCAAACCCTATAGCACAGTTACAAAGGAATCAGAAAATAAATAAGGCTTTAGAAGCAGTGGAAGTTCTCAAACATCAGCGGGAAAATAAGCATTCATCCCCATTTCTAGATGACACTACTAAGAGCAAAGAGCCAGAACAGAAACTTCCCAAGATTATTAACTATTTGAGAAAGGTAATTTAATGTGACTTAGAATAGCCTTATGAGGAAAGAAAAATCAATGCTAATGAGAGACGCCATAAACTCTTCCTTCAGAAAATAACTAAGATTGAAATGGCTGAATCGAACAAACAGATTTCCAAGAAGCTCCAAAGGTTGATACAGATGCGTAAAGTGTGAGCAGCAGTGATGATGAGACAATTGTTCTTACAAAAGTATATCTTACATACTGTGTACAAGTATACTGCTTGTTGCAAATAGTACCATGATATTGTCATTGTCTTATTGTAACTCCCATAATAAAAATAACTAGCAGGTTATAGTAAGTATTTCAATGTTGTGGATATGCTCCGGGGTTTTGGGGTTTTGGGGTTTTGGGGTTTTGGGGTTTTGGGGTTTTGGGG